ACAGGCATTTTGGGACAATTGCTTTTTAAAACGTTTTTATGCCAAAAATCCTTCATTGTGAACTCAGAATCATGTCAGATACACCAAGTGAATGTGTGTGGGGTTTGAAAATCATGAAAAACTGGCAGAAAACTCTGGCGGTGTGGGCTGAGACCACAGAGTTAGTTGCTGTGTTTGAAAGGAAGAAAGGGTGTGATTCCTCCTGCAAACCCCGAAACCCCAAAACTCCAAGCCAGTGGCACCTTCCAGGACTGTGGACTCACGGAGTCAGGGCAAGGCCAGCCCTCAGCAGCTGCAGGGAGCTTCGATGCAACTTATTTGTAAGAAAGACTAAATTTTTTTTATGGGTAGAATTGTAGTCAGGAGAAGGGAAAGGGCTTGAAGCTTAATTGCTTCACAAAGGGGGATTTTCCACCCCCAGAAGGGCATTTCTTGGTTGTTTGGGGAGGGGGGAGTGGTTTCACCTAAATGACTGATGGTCACTCACAGCAGGTTTCTGAACTAGTTAACTGAGCTCTGGTAAATCTCTTGTTAAATTACAAAAACTTCAGGGTGAAATCCTACACTTCCATGTACATTACATGGCTTAAGAGTAAACAAAATATTTTCAATTCTCTAACAAGACTGAACTCTAGAGTAGTTCAGGGGTCATTTCAAGCTTCCAGGATTCATTCCCTGGCTTCAGGCATGTTAGATCCGAGTTAGAGCCTCTGCCTGTATATTAGCAGTTTACCTTGTTTGTAACCTGTGTATTCTAGAGACGCCGAGATTCTGTTTTCTTAAATACTAGCTGATTGTTGTGATCTGTGAGTCTGTGAAACACTTCCGTTTCTGGGGTCCAGTTAGGAGATACTATGATTCTCATCCTTACAGGCAAAGCTCTATTAGGATCTACCCAATAACTTGGGGGCACCCTTTTAGAGAAGATTGTCGAAACCCAGAGCAGTCCTCAGGGTCCAGAGGGACCCGGGCTTGGTACAGGGAGTTCTTTTTTGTAGCCAGAAGTCCAGACAGAGAAGGTTTACCTTTTTGGCTTCCAACTAATACTGGGAACTTTTATTGCTGTTCAAGTGTAACTTTTTCCAGAGCCACACACCAGTGAGTGTAAAGTTCAAGGGGAAGGAAAACTGTTAGGCTTTGCCCTGGGAAATTCCCAGTGCTTTGTGGACTCTGGCTTGGGGGAAATAGCATCAGTAACTGGGCTCAGAGGCCGTGCTTTTCTGTGGTTTCTGTCTGATCATTACTGGTCGGAGGACTTTTTGCAGAGAGACACTGAAGCAAGGCCTTGTTCCTGGCCTTGCCCAGTGGAACCTGAGTGTTCTTGGCTTCCACAGATCTTCATAAGCTCTTGACTGTCATTTATTTAGCCAGACTTTTCTTGCTGTCTTGCAAACAGTACAGAATTAGGGAATGCTGCTTTCTAAGAGCAAAGGACACTCATCAGATGAAGGATTGTCTGGCCTGCTTACTTTCTTTTTTGTAACCTGGCACTTCCTCACATTCCTGCGCTTGTTTATGTATATGGGCAGCACCCCTTCTGGGAACAGATGGGATCTGGTTAGTTTGCAATAAGCACTTTGCAGTAGTTAAAGTCAACCTGTCTTTAGTCTCAGCCTGTCCACGTGGACTCTGGCCTGGCCGAGTGGCTCGCCTGGGGAAGGCGGGCAGCATGTGGAGCTTCTGTGTTCTAGAACTTCTGTGTTTACACAGTTGTATCGGGCAAGACCATTTCTTCCACCACAAAACTCCCCATGTCGGATTTCCTCCGTGTGTAATGCTGGCTGTTTAGGCGGGTCAGGGCGAGGCCCATATTCATAACTTTTTTTTTTCTTCAAAGAATCACCAAAGAAAGCTGTGGGAAGGAATCACTACCCCCAGAAAATAAAAGCAGGGGGCCATACCATAAAGCGGTAGAACTACCATTTTCTCGGAGCACAAACACTGATTTTTCAGAAGCTGGCTCTGTTGGCAGAGGAGAAGCTATCATGGGCAGCTTTTCCAGGTGAGCCAAAGGATGCCCTATCAGTTTCTTCCATTGCTGGCTCATCTGGGGGACTAATTTGGTGTAAGCAACCTGGGGCCTGCACAAGTTCTCGCCCTCCTTCCTCTGCCCTGCTCCACATCCCTCCTGTCTCTTTCACGGGCTTACTGGGGGTTCCCAGAAAGCTTTATCTAGTCCCTTGTTGGCTCTAGGGGCTGGAGAGGCTGACTTCCCAAGGTCTGGCCTTTCCTGTGACTTAGGGCTCCCTTCTGGAGCGAGGAGGCAGACACCTGAGCGTTTAGACACATAGGCTCAACCTGTTGCTCTCACTCATCTTCCAAAGGGGAGCTTTGCGTTGCTGAGTGGGGAAGAACCATGATCTCCACTTGCTTCCAAGGTGCTAGGGAATGTTTCAAGGTCATCGGTTCCCATCGTCTTCACAGCTTTATGGGCTGAGTTCTGTTGGACTTGCTAAGTTTTCTATTCTGTGTTTGATTTAATGCCCGATGCTTCTGTTTTATTCCTGATCCTTTCTACTATGCATTTTCCTTTTATCAGGTGTACAGAGTTAAATACTGTGTATTTATCACTTAAAAAGTACATGAACTTAAGAGAAAAATAAGCCTTTGGTGTTTTTTCCACAGATGTTTAAGCTTCTCTGTAAACTTGAAATAAACAGCAAAATGGTGCAAAGCCTGGGCCTTTTGGGGATATTTTTTTTGGTTGTTGTTTATAGATGTCTCTAGGACATCCATCTTCATAGGTGTTTTCCTTCCTTAGGCTGACTATGAGATCAGATGCCCAAGTCAGGGCTACTGTGTTCAGCATTACATTATTCATGCCTAGTGTAACCGTGTCCTAGTATCCCGGTACTAAAAGTGTGGTCCCCGGACCAGCATCCACATCTCCTGAGAGTTCGTTGGAAATGCAAATTCCCAGGCCCTGTTTAAACAAGATCCCTGGATGACTCAAGTGCACGCTGAAGTCTGAGACAGACTGCTCTAGCAGTCTGGATTCTCCTGGTGGAGACGAACCAGAGGAGCAGCCCTGGGAGCTGCATTAATTACACACAGAACACGTCCTGTGAGCAGGTTATAGGACACATCACCCCATGACGTAGGTATTTGGCCCATCTTATGGATCATCACCCATAAACTGAGGCTCAGAAAAGTTACTTAAGTCTGTTGTCCAAGAGCTCTGACCTTGTCAGCAAATTCAGCATTCTACAGACCCCGGACAGTTGCCGGTTTTCAAGGCTTCTGGAGACTGCTGTGGAACTGATGCTTCTTCCAGACTAGAGGCTGGAGGTTCCCTGCACTCCAAACGCGAAGCGAGCCCAGGGCATTGCTTTACTGGCGTTGAACCTTGGTTTTCTGTTATGAAGGGATGGCGGATGAAGTCTGAAAGCTTCCTATTCTGTTGCTGCAGAACTGTGATTATTGGAATACGGGTCTTTAAGAGTGGAGAGCCAAAAATTAAGTCCTCCATTAAGAGAAACCTCAGGCTGCACGTAGCCCCAGTCCCAGTCCCAGGGAAAGCCTCAGACTGTTCAAGGCTAAAGCCATCCTCGGACGGCCCTCAGATCAGTTAATCAAAAAACACTCCTGTGGTCTGAGTCAAGGCTGGGAACTGCAGATACAAACTAGCCAATTTCTCACTGCTTGCCTGAACCCCATGTGGGCCCTTTGAACTCACCTCATAATTGGTCATTTTCAAAGGATTCTCAAGAGTCATGATTGGGCCCCACCAAAAGTAACGAACACCTCACAGATACTGAATGGTCAAAGCTGTAATTGTAATTGGTGCTTATGTGATGATGCTACATGTACTGTAACACTCCCATCCCTTACTCCTTAAAAACCCTGTTCGCTATTGTTCTTCGCTTCACCTTGCTGCCATGACACCGGTAGGCTGGTGAGCCCCTGCTCGAGCTTGTAATAAAGACCCTTTTGTACTTGCATCGGTGCCGACTCCTTGGAGGTCTCTGGGACTCGCGATTCGGGCACAACAAGAGCAGGTGTCACCGTTCAGAGACCCCACTGAGACTCTGATGAAAGCCAAACACAGCGCACACAGGTGCAACCCTTGGCAGAGTTTTAAGGATTCCTGAGCCTCCTGGAAGCCCACCCATGGGTGCAAGTTTCAGCAGCCACACCAGGGAGTGCCAGCACGTGGGAATATGGCTGACTACAGGATGCCTGGTGAGTAAAATAAGCAATCCGTCCCCCATCCTTCACCCCAGCTGGCTATAGCGTTCCATCTAAGAGGCCTCAAGAAGTGGTCTCCACTCCAGTAACTCAGTTCTTAGCCTGCAAGATGAATAGCCATCTCTTAAAATTCCAGCTCCATATGATCCATGTGTTCAGGCAGGCATTTTTTTTTTCAAAGAGGCAGCACCAACTGGAGCTTTTTTTCAGAGGGGTTCGGTAAACTCCACCGCCCTCCCCCCCAAAGCAAGAAAAGCTCAGGTTTTATGCAGCAGAAGCAGGCACTTCTAAAATAAATGTTCCCTTCAGTACTTGGAAATGAGTTCGTGATGGGGGGAGGGGCAAGCAGCTTTCTTTAAGAAGCTCCTGTAGACTCCCTGCAGAATTAAGTTGTGAAGGGGAAGCTGGAAATAACTTCATTAACATTTCAAACAAGGTAGGTGTAGGTGGTGCTGCTTGTGGTTGGAGACTTCTGGAAAGCAAATGGGGAGGGGAGAGGATAAGCCATGTTCTCAGTTACCTAAAATTGTGTGCGCCTTAGTGTAGTACCACAGTTTTATGTAAAAAGCACATGCACAGGTAAGACTAGTCACCACAGGACAAAACCTTGTAAATTCTAGAGAAACACAGCCTAACAAAGATCAAGATGCTGAGGCCTTCAAGGGAAGGTCGAAGCAGGGGAAAACGCCCAAGCCCTAACAAAAGACTGTTTCAGGAAGCTTTCTTTGAGCACAGTGAGCTGTGATAACAAATGGGTTTAGCGGTCAAAGTAAAAGGGAAGAGAGGAAAGTTCCAGTCCATGCTATGAGAACAAAGATTGAAAAAATCGTTTTAATGTTTGGTCCTCTATCACCTCCACATGCCTCTTCTCGAGGGGACGTGCTAACTCTGTGACAGAATGGATGTGGGGGAGGAATGGCGGCCCGTGTGATCAAGAGCCAGTGACACACCTGGTGACCTTCCTTCCCTTATAAAGTGCTTGAACAGAGCTGCTGGGCCCCAGCTGGACCTGTCTCGCTGGGCCCCAGCTGGACCTGTCTCAGGGAGCCCCTGAGGAAGGTTGCCCTGTGGGAGGCCCCGGCCCTGCAGCAGCAGTAGCCCCATGGCCCTGGGGCCAGAGGTCGCCCCAGCAACCCAGAGTTGAGGTGACCCACTGTGTAGGGTGGTTTACTATGCACGCCCTACACACAAAACACTGGAGCAGCTGGGCGACTGTGAAGTTCTTGTGCAGTGGAGGCAGACTCAGAATCTGGAACCTTCTCTGGGGTGACAACAGCAGCCTTTTCTCCTCACTGTGCTCTGGTGAGGGCCGTGGGGAGCCCAGGTGTGGAGGACACATCACTGGTCCATCTCACCGCCAAGCCCCTGCAAAGAAAGGTGATACGCTTTGACTGATACGCTTCTGGATAGATGTATTCGCACCATGGCCTGCCCATAGGCAAGCCTGGACCATCTGGGGCAGGCGAGAGCCAGGCACTGTCCCTGAGGACTTTGGGTAGCCCTCCCCAACTACATATACTCAGCTTAGTACTAGTGCAGGGGTTCTCAAAGCATGGTACCCAACCCCTCTTGCTATGTTAGGCAAGTTTAAGTAGTGTGTGGACATAGATTCTGTCATAATATTCATGAATATACCTAACCTGAGCTGTCACTAATTAAAACTGAGGCTAGATTTTAGAGAGTGAGTCCGTTTGAAGAAAAGTATGAAGTGACTACTAGTACAGATGGTCTAGAAATGGAGCAGAGGGCAAGGGTGAGGAGTGGTGTGCAGCCGCCTGGGTTGGCCACATGCCAAAAGAGCGCCACCTTTGCGCCCAGGTCTCCCCCAGACGGCCCAGCGCCCCAATGCTCACCACTGGTACAAGAAGTGGATGCGGACCTTCCTGCCCGCTGGAGTTTAGGAGGTGGCCTACCTGCTCGTAATCCTCCACATACTTGTATTTCTTCTCCCGGTAGTAGAATCTTTTCTTCATGCAGTAGAGGACTATGACGTCACACAGCACTGTGGCCTGAGTGCAGCACAGGGCGAGAAAGGACGAGCCGGGATGTTTTAGCCCGTTATTCTGTGCGCGCCCCTTCCCACAAAGCCTGGAATCTTTCAAGGAAAGGAAGGGCAAGGCCCCTAGGCCGTGGTCTTGGAGAAGGGAAGGGGAGGTGGGGCTGGGGGCAGGGGTAACAAGCTGGGAGGGTTGATTCCAGAAACAAGCGTCATGGGGAGGAACCAGGATGCCAGTGGAGGGTCTCACGTCACTGCTAACTACTGCTGAGGAGGCCCCCAGGCCCGGGGTGGGTGGGGTGAAGGCGCGATCCAAGTCACTCACCACCCCTAGGAGCGCCAAACCAGAGCCAATGTTGATCATGGTGGGGATGATGTCAAATTTCCCAGCCTACAAATGACAGAAAAGGAAAAAGTTGCGAGAGGGGTGGGCAAGAGCAGATAAAAGGCGGGGAGAGGGCCCCTGGTGCCTGGCCAACCCAGAAGCCCAGGTCTGAACCAGAGCCCTGAGAGAAGCTGGCAACCAGCCTACCTTTCCGAACACTATGATGTCAAAGCGGATGCCGTAGGCCTTGATGAGTGTGCGGTGCTCGGTGCCAGTCGGGTCGCTATAGTACTTGGCAAACCTAGGGAAATGGGGACATCAGAGCAGAAATCTCCAAAGCCCTCGGGAGCTGGCACCGCCTGCAGGACAAACAGAACCTGAGCACCTCGGGGCCCCTCCCAGCTAAGGTGGGTCATGCAGCATGCGGGCTGGGCTGTCGGCAGGAGGGTGCCAGCGCCCACGGGGTACCAGAACTTCTCCATCATCACTGTCACCTCCTACAGTGGAGCCAGAACCTCTTGCTCTGAACATCCCCCTTGACGTAGCAGAACCACCTGCCTCTCTCTAGGAGATCCTGGCCACTGACAGAATGTGGCTGGCCAGCAGCAAGCCCCAGGGCTGCCTTCTGGGTAGGGGCATGGGGTCCGGCCATGAAACTCCACAAAACTCACCGATTCAGCCCTGGGCATTTTTTTTTTTTTTTTTTTTTTTTTTTTAAAGAACCACTGACCTACTGATGGCTAAATGAGTAAATAAAATGTGGTATATCCACACAATGGAATACTCTTTGGCCATTAGGAGAGATAAAGTCATGATAAATGCTACAATATGGATGAACCTTGAAAAAAACATGATGCTGAGAGAAAGAAGCCAGTCACAGAAGGCCATACAGTGTGCGACTCTATTTATGCAAGTCCAGAGAGAAAGGAGGCAGACAGCGGGTGACCGGGACTGAAGCAGAAGGGAAGACAGAGGTGGTGGCTGAAGGGGCTTCTCACTGAGGGGATGAAAATGTTCTAAAATTATGCCGATCATCCTACAACTCTGAATAGACTAAAAATGATGGAGTCCCACACTTTACATGGATGAACTGTGTGGTGTGTGAACTATATCTCAATAAAACAATTAAACACCCCACAGGGGGAATGGTGGGGGTGGGGTCTATTGAGCCATGATGCCATTTGCGGTCTATGTTATATATACAGGACATTGATTCAGAGAAGCCTAAACTCTCGGCCCACAGTCAGTCTGGCCCACAACCTCTATGTCACGGTCAGGCCTGGTGCTAGCGGAGGTCAGGGGGTGGGTTTCCTTCTGGTGACAGCTCCCGTCGGCTTCTCTCTGTTCCGAGGTTCTGACCCAAGCTTGAGGTTTTTCCACAATGGTTTCTAAACTGTAACAGTAGAGACAGAGCAACACAAACCTAATTCCTTTCCTAGGGGAAAAATTCAAATATCTGCCCTAGCATCAGCGAGTCAGCTGGTTCGAAATGAGAGTGGACTTAATTCCGGAGGTTTCTGTGATCCCACGTGTACTGGATTGCACACATCACCACTAGAGGGAGACAAGTGCAACTCAAAAGCACCTCAGACCTACTCAGGGGGCGCCTTGTGGGGCTGCTTTTTCTGAGTGGCAAAATGCGGGAGAGATGCCGCAAATGGCACGCGACAATGTACATGGCTACAGGCTGGCTGCCTCGGGAAAGTGGCAAACATGACCCTGGCTCCTTGGCCCTCCCATCAGATTACCAGCTGCACCGGGCTGAACACTGTCACCCAAGATTCACATCCACCTGGAACCTGTGAGTGGGGAAAGGAAATAGGGAAACAGGGCCTTTGCAGCTGGAATTAGGTGAGATGAGGTCGGACTGGATTCGCATGGACTTTGATTCAATATGACTGGTATCCTTATAAGAAGACAGGACAGGGGCGCCTGGGTGGCTTAGTTGGTTAAGCGTCCGACTTTCGCTTAGGTCATGATCTCGCGGTTCGTGGGTTCGAGCCCCGCGTCGGGCGATGTGCTGACTGCCAGCTCAGAGCCTGGAGCCTGTTTCAGAGTCTATGACTCCCTCTCTCTCTGACCCTCCCCTGCTCACGCTGTCTCTCTCTCTCCTAGAAATAAATAAAACTTTAAAAAAAAAAAAGACAGGACACACAGCGATGCGCACAGAGGGAAGAAGGCCATGTCACAACAGTGGCAGAGGCAGGAGTGATGAGCTTATGAGCCAAGAAACTCGAAGCACCGTGGGGGGCCCCCAGAACCCGGAAGGGGCGAAGAAGGCAGCTGGCCTTGCCGACCGACACGTTGATTTGGGGATTCTGGCCTCCAGATCCGTGAGAGAGTAACTTCCTGTTGTTTCAAGCCACCCACCTTGTGGTAATTTGTTGTGGCGGTCCCAGGACAGGAGTACATGGTACTTCTGGCAGGGAAATATCAGCAAAGGCCTGAGGCTTAAGTCTGTATCTCCTGCACCCTGGGGATTCCAGGGGCAGTCTCGGGTCTTTGAGAAACTGCTTCCTGGGTCAGGCCCCAGAGGTCTTCGGACTGGAGGATCACAAGCTCACCAACTCCTCAAAATCACTGAGCAGGGGTCCTAGTTGAGGCTGGCCCAAGGGAGCACAAGCAGCCGGCATCCCTGGGCTGCTCTGAAAATTGTATCAACGTGATTTTTTTTTTTAATGTTTGTATGTGTGTGAGAGAGAGAGAGAAAGAGAGAGAAAAGGAGAGAGAGAGAGAGAGAGTCAGAACAGGGGAGGAGCAGAGAGAGAGGGAGACACAGAATCTGAAGCAGGCTCCAGGCTCTGAGCTGTCAGCACAGACCCTGATGTGGGGCTGGAACTCACGGACCGCAAGATCATGACCTGAGCTGAAGTCGGACGCTTAACCAACTGAGCCACGCAGGCGTCCCTCAGGGTGGTTTCTGAAGTAAGAAGGGGCACAGAAGGCTCTCATGGGCCAGGACACTGTGGGCACAAGATCTGCTCGGAACACTCTCTTTGGTACATACCTCCCCACCTGCCCTCGGGGGCTGCCTGAGTGCTGGTCTTTGGTGGGCTCGGATGCCCCCACCAGGACCGATCCAGCCACCATCGCCCTCCTGTCCCCCAACCACAAGAGAACCGGGCCCCAAGCTCACGCCTACCTGAAATTATAGCCAGGGGACACATTGTGGTCCACATCCCGGGTGTCCAGGCGGCGGAAGGAGTACCTAGGCAAGCAGAGGGAGGCAGTTCTGTCCAAGTTGCAGTCCCAGTTGATCTGGATGCCCATGATGCCTCCCTGTGGGTTGCGAGCAGAGACAGAGCAAGCTTTCCTCAGGGCCCATTCTAGAACATGACGCGTGAAAGGCTGTGTCCGAAAAGCCAGGGGCCTCCGCCTACCTCGACGGCCATGTCCTGGAAGCTATGTCCTGCATCCTGCACTATTTTGCCAAGACGAAATATGGGGCAGAAGGGATCTGTTATGACGTCATAAATGCAGGATTTGAGGTAGGTAGTGGTGGCGTTGGGAAGAATATTCCTCCTAAAGTCAGGAGGAAGCAGAAATGGAGCAAGGAAAACCTCAAAGAGGAGTCAGAAGATGCTCTAAGACACTGGTGAACTCACACAGCAGGCCACCACTTACTTGCTGAAATTAAATTTGGGATACCAGATGTTGTTCTTGACCAAAAGAGTGAAGTTTTCTGCAGCTTTTAGAAAAGCAGGTCTGAAAAAGATAACGTCACATACTGTTAATAAAAGTACAAATATATGTACAGTCACATCCTTACATAATATTTTTAAAAAGCCCATGCACATGTGTCATACAATGTCATCTGGCCAGAAAAAAATGTGAAAATATCTCAAGCATCTTTTACCATCCTCTGCATAAACACTAGGTCAACAGAGGACAGTAAACTAAGCCTTTCTGTGTCTTCCTGTCAGGCAGCGGGAATTTTAAGAGGTTAGGAATGAATAGCTAAGGAGAAAGGATGCCTAGTGGTTTCCCTTGAAATTATTCAGCCTGAAGTCCGTGCATCTCATTCAGGTGCCCTCAGGGGAACGCTCTACAGATCTGGTTTTACAAGTCCAGGCAAAGGTAAAGTCACCTCCAGGGTGGATCCTGATCTCATCACAAAAGTACACAAAAATCATGTGGCAGACGCTCTCTTCTCAGAAGTGCCACGTCAGCTCCTGGATGGCCCTACGGTGAATCTGTCTCCAAGGCCCTCCCCAACTTCTTTAGGGGGGTCTCTACCTGAGAATCCAGTGCTGCAGGCAAACCCCTCTGGGGGGGGTGCGGCTTCCCTGATCCAGGTGGAATATTTGAGTTTATAAACAGTTATCAATAATTGTCTCAACCCTGAGACAGAACCAAGCCCACACAGCAAAGACAGCTGAACCTGTCACCGCTGATGCCACGGCCTTGACCAAGGTACTTCTCTTGGGGCTTCAAATTCCCTCATCTCTGAGAGGGATGGGTAATATTAGGGTTTTTCAAACTGTTGTCATTCTCTATACCATAGCTTTCCCCTCACATCTGTCTACCTCATATGTAAAACTTTGAAGATTAACTTTTATTTTTTTAATTTCTAAAAAACTTTATTTTATTTTAGAGAGAGTGCACACGAACGGGGGGGGTATGGAGTGAGAGAGGGGGGAGAGAGAGGGAGAGGGAGAGGGAGAGGGAGACGGAGAGGGAGAGAGGGGGAGAGAGAGAGAGAGAGAGAGAGAGAGAGAGAGAGAGAGAGAGAGAGAGGGAGAGAATCTGAAGCAGGATCCATGCCCAGTATAGAGCCCCATGCAGGGCACGATCCTGCCCTGAGCCAAAATCAAGTATCAGACACACCCAACTCACTGAGCCACCCAGGAACCCCTAACTCATAGTTAAAAAGAAAATGGAGGTGAAATACACATAATGTAAAATTAACCATTTTAAAATGTATAATTCAGTTAAATTGCACTAAACACATTCATGATGTTGTGCAACTATCACATCTAATTCTAGAACATTTTCATCACCCCCAAAGAAAAACTTTGTACCCATTAAGCAGTAGTATCTATTCTTCCCCCACCTCTGGGAACCACTAATCTACTTTTGTGTCTCTCCAGATTTGTCTACTCTGGACATTTTATATAAATGGAATCATAGAATATGTGGCCTTTTGTGTCTGGCTGCTTTCACTTAGCACCGTATTTTTTAGGTTCATCCACATCGTAGCATCTAGCATTTCATTCTTTTTTTATGGCTGAGTCCTGTTCCTTTGCATGGATGGACTGTAATCTGTTTCTTTCTTTCTGTGTTGATGGTCATTTGGGGTGTTCCTGCCTTTAGGATCAACTCACTGTTTTTTACTGACATTCATTTTGAAATGAAACTTTCCATCATGATTATAAGAAATATTATTTGCCCCAAGTCAGAGGTCATTGTTCAAATAAATATAATCAAATCAAAACAATATTATTTAAAGTTGTAGTTTAGGGGCATCTGAGGGGCTCAGTTGGTTAAGCGTCCAACTCTTGATTTTGGCCCAGGTCATGAGATGGAAACTGCTTGGAATTCTCTCTCTCTCTCTCTCTCTCTCTTTCTTTCTCTGTCTTCCCCTCTGCCCCTCTCCCCTGCTCATGCTCTCTCTCTCTCTCAAAAAAAGTTGTAGTTAATATTACTATTTGCCCAAAGTACTGAATCTGGGGGTTGTAATTTGTGAGAAATGGAAATCACCAAGTTATAAAAGACGCCCCAAACCAAGATTCCCTCCTTGATATAAGCTTAGAATAAGCTGAATAAGAATGGAAATGGGAATTCCTTCTCTCCATGTGACTCATGTTATTTCATGTTATCAGTGTACACTTAACAATCTTCTTCCACTCGATTAGATACATAACAGTGCCGTCCAACAAAAATATACTGAGACACAAATACAAGCCACCTTGCAATTTGAAGTGTCTACTGGTCACATTAAAAAGTAAAAAAACCAAGTGAAATTAACTTTTCTATAATAACCCCACTATATCTGAAGTATTACTTCACCAGGTAAACAACACATAGTATTGTATATATATGTATATACTATATGTATAGTATATATAGACTATATAGTAGTATAGATGTGTAGTAGGTATATACTATTATATACCTAATATATATATATATTATATATATATATATATATAAATTTTTTCCCTAATGTCTTCAGGCTCTGGAATACATTTTACACTGAGCATTTTGTCTGGATCGAGACACACTTTGAGTACTCAACAGCCACCCATGGCCAGTAGCATCATGTTGGGGAGCACAGCTCCATAAGATCCTTTTCAGCTAAAAAATGCTAGGATTCCTAGCCGGAGCTGCTGCCCTCTGTTGCAGGGTACCCTGAATGGGGTGCATGTGGCTGGCTGCCTGCCAGGCTTCTCCAGGCCTCCCTCTGAACTCTGGGTCAGGAAGGCCGGAGTTACAAGCAATTCTGAGAGCATTACCTCTGACTGCCCCCAGTCAAAGCAGAGCAATTTACTATTAGGAAGAATGTTATTCTAGGGCAGCCCCGAACCTGCTCTACTTTATAAAACACACTACTGTGGACACTAATTATTTTCCTGCCCGGCATCTGTTCCCCTCTTTCCTGGCAACAAATCCCCGATTTCCTTTGGAAGTCACACCTCCCTACTCTCAGGCTATGTGGTTTGGGTGGGACTGACTGGCCCCTGGCTCCAGAGGTGGGCAGGTTACCCAGGCCTGAGCTGAGAAGCAAAATCCATGTCTCAGCTACAGTGATAGGTTGAGGGATGTGGCTGAAGATGTCATGATGGACATGTCTAGAAGAATCTCTATGGACAACTGGGCTGAGAGACTTGGGGGAATATAAGCCCAGAGCCGCCTCCTAGGACTACACAACGGTCCTGCAAATGAAGCCGATATGGGGGAAGTAGAGTCAAAAGGTGGAGACTCTGAAGCTGTCCTTCGAGCCCCAGGCTCGTTGTGCTGGGCTCCTCATAGGTAGTTGGACAGTAAACGATGTGTGTGTCCACTGCGATGTGTGTGTCCTGCTCTGAGGCACTGAGAACTGTTTCCTGTTAGTTACTTGCAACTGACAAAGTCCAAACAAAGACATAAATCATCTGCACTCTTCTCACAAGTGACAAACACTGTGGCCCACATTGTCATTGGTCCCGGCCCTGGGGAAGCCTGACTCCACAAAGACACCAAGAGCACAACACACCGGCTTAACTCCCCTGCCGCCTTCCCTCGGGCAGGACTCACTCAGGCACAGGTGTGTCATCCTCCACCGGGCACCAGGCCGCCACCTCGCACGTCTTCACAGTCCCATTAAACGACACGCATCTTCCTGTTGCAATTCCTGCAGGGGAAGGGGGCACCTGTTTTCTACTTTCACAAGGGGGAGAAGTGCAAGCACCGCCACAGCATCCTGTGCAGTCCATCTTGAGCTGTTCCGATTCCGGGCTTTATACAGTTTTCAGAAATTAGAGGAAAACATTTGCCTGAGTCCAGTAGCAAGGCTAGGGTGATGACAGGCTGGCCCAGGGCAAGATCTGGGGTGGCCTCTGGAGTACGGGTGACAGGTGAATGTCGAGAAGATCCTGAGAGCCTGATGGGTACACCAGGCTCACCCAAGGTCATATGAAGGACTTGGGGAATGTAGGGATTTCTTTGTCCTGCAGATCTCTCTATAAGAGAAGCCCCACGGGGGAGGCAATCTGGTCAGGGGCTGCCCCCCCCACACTAAATGTCTACTGTAGGTCACAGCCATGAGCCCATACCGTTGCTGTGGACGCCTGAAGAGCCAGCGGCACAGTCGGCATCTGATTTACACACAGTGGTCTTATCTGGAAGCTGGAAAAAGAAGAAAGAGTGAAAACAAATTCCACGTAGTCAGTCAGGTGGGAGAGGTGGGGGAGAGGAGCCTGAGGCTCTTTCCTGAGAAGCTGCCTACCTCGGGACAGAGGCCCTGTGTCTGGTTAATGGTGGTGATCAAGTTGGTCATGACGAAGAGGGAGTTCTCCTCCTGCAGAGGGGACGGGGGAGAGAGCACCACTGTGTTACCTTCAGAGCAGTCAGGCCAGGCCCTGAAGAAAGCCAGGTGTTCATTTAAAAGGTCAGTACCTTTCACTTCTCCCAAGTGCCATGCAGAAAACAATTTAAAAACTGATCTTTTGGGACACCTAGGTGGCTCAGTCGATTAAGTGACCGACTTCAGCTCAGGTCATGATTTCACAGCTCTTGAGTTCAAGCCCTGCATCAGGCTCTGTCAGCATAGCACCTGCTTCAGATCCTCTGTCCCCCTCTCTCTCTGCCCCTCCCCCTGGGTGGACTCTCCTCTCAAAAAAAACATTAAAAACTAAAAAAACAAAAATCCTTGATCTTTTTTGATCCTTTGTTCTCTGAGAGAGAACTGAAGACAGGACTCAAGAAAATACTTGTACCACAATCCCCCTTATCTGCAAGGGTATATGTTCTGAGACCCCTGGGGGAGGCCTGAAACCGCAGATAGGACCCAATCCTCCGTTTGCTATGGTTTTTCTCCACCACCACCCCCCCCCCCCCCCCGAGGCAGACATACCTATGACCAAGTTAAATTTTAAATTAGACAACAGTAAGGGGCGCCTGACTGGCTCAGTCAGTTAGGCATCTGACTTCGGCTCAGGTCATGATCTCATGGCTCGTGAATTCGAGCCCCACGTCGGGCTCTGTGCTGACAGCTCAGAGTCTGAAGCCTGCTTTGGATTGGGTCTCCCTCTCTCTCTGCCCCTCTCCCACTTGCACTCTCTCTCTTTCTCAAAAATAAACATCAAAGAATAAATAAATATGGGGCGCCTGGGTGGCTCAGTCGGTTAAGCGTCCAGCTTCAGCTCAGGTCATGATCTCACAGTTCGTGGGTTCGAGCCCCGCGTCGGGCTCTGTGCTGACAGCTCAGAGCCTGGAGCCTGTTTCAGATTCTGTATCTCTGTCTCTCTCTGACCCTCCCCTGCTCATGCTGTCTCTCTCTCAGAAATAAATTAAAAAAACATTAAAAAAATAAAAACAAAGAATAAATAAGACACAGTAAGAGATTAACAACAATAATTAATACTAAAATAGGACAATTATAATAATATATTATAATAAAAGTTATGTGAATGTAGTCTCTCTCTCTCAAAATACCTTTCTGTACTATACTCACCCTTCTTCGTGTGATGGGAAAATGCCTACGTGAAGAGATGAAGTGAGGTGAATGTTGGAAGCTTTGTGATTCAGTGTTGCGCTACTACCCACTCGAGGGTATGTCAGGAGCACCATCTGCTTCCAGACTGCAACTGACCGTGGGTGACTGAAACTGTGGACAAGAGGGCCTACTGTTTACATATGTTCATGGCAGCATTATTCATAGTGACCCAGAGGTGGATACACCCCAAATATCTATTGACAGATGAATGGATAAACAGACTGTGGTTACCCATACCTGCGTGTGTACCTATAATGGAATATGACTCAGCCATAAAGAGGAATGAAGCACTGACACAGGATACAATATGGGTGAACCTCAAACATATGATGCTAAGTCAACGAAGCCAGACACCAAAGGCCACATATTGTATGATTCTGTGAAATTTCCATACAGACAGAAAGTAGATGAGTGGTTGCCCTGGAGGCAGGGGGTAAAGTGGAGGGTAGGATGAGAAGCCACTGCTGAATGGGTATGGGGTCTCCTCTTGGGGTGATGAAAATGTTCTGGAACTAGAAGGAGGTTATACTTGCATAATATCGTGAAGGTACAAAATGCCACGGAATTTTTCAACCTGAAATAGCTAATATTATGACATGTGAATTTCACCTCAATGGAAAAAAATGTCTATAACCTGAAGTGGTTCCTTAATGAAGCTTGGCTTCTTAAGGGAAAAGCGCCAAAAAGTGCTCAAGACATCCTCTGCCAACCAGAGTTCCTCAGAGGTACAGAAATGCAGGGCCACCAAAGTCCCCAAATTTGGCTGGTTTTCTTTTCTAACTGAAATTTAAATAAGCAAATAAATAAATAAATAAAACATTCTAGAGAAGACCAAATTAGAGTCAGCAACTGACACTTCTCCATTTGAGAAGGCTTTTTTTTTTCCTCCTAGAAAGGTGCCAAAAGGTTGATTTACAGTTTCTGGAGAGGGAGCGCCTGGGTGACTCAGTTGGTTGAATGTCCAACACTTTTTTTTCTCCCCAATGTTTATGTTTATTTATTTTTGAGAGAGAGAGAGAGAGCGCGCGCGCACGAGAGCATGAGTGGGGGAGGGGCAGAGAGAGAGGGAGACACAGAATCTAAAGCAGGCTCCAGCCTTTGAACTGCCAGCACAGAGCCCGACCCAGGGCTTGAACTCACAAACCATGAGATCATGAGCTAAGCCGCAGTCAGATGCTTAAATGATTGAGCCCCCCAGATGCCCCAAGCGTCCAACAAGAGTTGGACATCCAATCAAGAGATTTTGGCTCAGGTCATGATCTTGCAGTTCGTGGATTTGAGCTCCATGTTGATAGTGCAGAGCCCACTTGGGATTTTCTCTCTTTTTGCCCTTTCCCTCACCAAAATAAATAAAACTTTAAAAAAAATCAATATTTTAAGAAAAGGTTTCTAGAGAAAAATTCACTGGGGATGAGACTGAAGTTAAGGAACTTCCAACATAAGGAATAAAAGATGTCCAAAAATCCTCATTGGACATTCTCTTCGCTGAACACCGGCATTACCAGAAACTTTCTATTAGTGTTTCGTACTCTGTGGGAGTGGAGTCAGCACCGGGAACCCTCTGGAGGATCAAGGTAACTCAGGGACCAAAGTGTCTGTAGACCTCTCCACCCCCAGGTCTGACAAGGTGGTGAAGCTCTGGGAATAGCTGGCATCTTCCAAAGAAAGATCTAGAACAAGTCACATTGGGAGACAAGGAAATGTCGTGAGGAGGCATGAGAATATGGCATGATGCCCAAGTTTCTCCTGGCTTTTTTTTTTGAGAGAGTGCGTGCACACAAGCGAGTGTACAGGCAGGGGAGGGGCGGAGAGAGGCAGGGAGTCACAGAATCTGAAACAGGCTGACAGCTCAGAGCCAGAAGTGTGCTCGAACTCACTAACCATGAGATCCTAAGCTGAGCTGAAGTCTGTCGCTTAACTGTCTGAGCCACCCAGGCCCCCCCATTTCTCATCTATTTTCAACTTAGGGAAATATCATTCTGGAGGTGAGCCAAGTAGAAGCGCTGCAAACAAATGTTTGCACGCAGAGAAGCAGAAGGGTCTGACTGACCTTCATTGCTCATTAGTTCTGGTCTTCTCTCTGGGCGCCCCACAAATGGACCACAGCAATTGCCATGGCTAAAGAGAGTCGATATTTAATTTGGAGCTTTGTCAATTAACAGACTGGATACAAGGATGCTGTATCAAACACTTTCTTTCCTTACCTTTGTTCCTGACCAAATCCTATGTCTGTTTCCTCCAGGTTTGGCTTTGGTCTCTAACTCCTGATAAACTATAAACTTTTTACACTGTCTGCAAAGATTTACCTTGTGTTTTACAATAAAGCAAATACAAAATGTGGAACGGTGATATTTCCACCTGAATTTTCCCCAGGATTTAAAACATTTGCTCTTCCATCTTTCAGGGCTCGAGACAGGCCGAGTTGTCTGTGTTTAAGCCAACCATGATTTAGAGCTGAAGCAACATAGCTGGTTGAATATTATTAGACTCTAAGCCAAAAACGGATCTGCCTGCATTGCTTTCTTGGACTAAAACGATCAGTCTGGGCATCGGTGATGTTAGAACTCTGCCAATCATTAATCAAGAGTGCAAAGTCAGTAAAGGGAAAGGAACTAATGAGAAGCTTTAGTGTTAGAAGCCACAGTGGAAGCATACCTGAGCTGGAATCACATAATCCGCCACATCCCAGACCCGGAATCCAAGTGTAGAAGTGTTGGTTACAGTCACGCCTTTGGCTTTGGTAGTAACTGAGCTGACCACAGAGTCCATTTCCTGGTAGCCTTTTTCCCACACAAACACCCACCTACAAAATAAAACAGTCCTCTTAAATTGCCATTAGGATTCAGCTAATTTGAATTGATGCTAGGGAGCCTCTGATAGCCAGAGGCTGACAGTACAACATTCACTAATTATGCAACTTTGCAAAACTGTTTAACTTGGGGGCTCCATTCCCACATCTGCAAAATGCACATATAGAACATAAACCACAGGGTGGTTTGTGGGAGATAAATGAGATGATGTAGGTAAAGCACTTAGCACAGCGATCAGCACAAAGAAAGTACTCAACGAATGTCTTTATTATTAGATATTTGAGCACTTTCAATGCACTATGACCTGCAGAATCACCAAAGAGATAATAAAAATTATGATAATAGTTACCATGTGGGTGTTTTTAGTGCCAGGTGCTAATCTAAACTCTATATATTTATTAACTAATTTAATCCTAACCACTTTATAAGGCAGATATTATTCTCTATTTATTTTAAAGTTTATCTATTTGTGACAGAGATAGCGAAAGCGCATGTGTGCATGAGCAACAGAGTGGCAGAGACAGAGAGAGGAGAGAGAATCCCATGCAGGCTCTGCACTGTCAGCGCTCAGGCTGATGCAGGGCTCAATTCCACGAACTGGGAGATCATGACCTTAGCCGAAATCAAGAGTCAGACACTTAACTGACTGAGCCACCCAGGCAACCCTATTATTCTCTATTTTTACAGAGGAGGAAACTAAGACACAGAGAGGTTAAGTGATTTGCCCAAGGTCACACAGTTAGTGAATGATAAAGTCAGAATCTGAACTCAAGTCTTTTGCCTCTGAAGCCCCTTTTCTTGTCCTGCATGCTATACTCCCTCAAGAAAAGAGAATATCACTTTCAAGGAACTTTTATACTAGTTCATACTTTTTCTCCAAGAATTCAGGTCCCATATATGCTTCTCTTCTCTGGGGAGAATTGAGGGCGTTACAACCAGTCTGAATAATTAAAGGGGGGGTCCTGGGTGGCTTAGCCAGTTAAGTGTCCGACTTTGGCTCAGGTCATGATCTCACGGTTCCTGAGTTCAAGCTCTGCAGTGGGCTCTACACTGACAGTATGAAGCCTCCTTGGGATTCTCTCTCTCTCTCTCTCTCTCTCTCTCTGCCCCTCCCCCACTTGTGTTTTCTTCTCCTCCCCTTCCCCTGTCAAAATATAAACTTAAAAAAAATCTAAAGGCATTAGTGCATAGTGGTTAGGACACTGGAACATAGACTGAAGCCAGTGATCATGGTTCATTTCTAAGCTCTACCACTCACTAGGCATTAACTTTGGCCTTTCTCTGTGCCTCAGTTTTTCCCATCAATAAGATGGGAATGATAATAGGACTTCATAGGATAGTTGTGAGGTTAAATGAGTTAATGCATGTCAAATGTTCAGAACAATGTTTGTGTTGCCATCAGTAGGCTAAATTTGGCCACGGTGGGAGGGTTTATGCCATGGAAGTTGGCTAATACTACAAATGAGAACTCCTTCCCACCAGAGCTGTTATTAAACACCTACCAGCAACTATTATTGTTATTTTTTCTAGAATCAAGAAATGCTAGCATCCCTCTCCTCTCCTTATAAGCTCTAGCTGCCAAGACTCCAAAAAATCAGTGGCTTTGGTTATTTATGGGTTTGTCTGGTCTGAGGAGTCTCCAAATTCATTGTCCATCCTGGAGGCAAGCTCTTCCCCAAACAAGTCCTTTTCTTCAGGGGTTCTAGGAATTTAGCTGCAATATAAGCTTTCATTTAATTCTACTGAGACACACAGAAGCTTATTTCACTACAGACAACAGTGAGTTGCTAAACCAGAGACACATGGTTTCACACGAATCACTATGTGATTACCTACAGTCTCATCATATGATAGATAATAGAACCAGATAACTGAGAAATCAATGTCCAGTCTAAGATGAATTGGATCAGGAAGCTAAGAGATGAGTAAGAAAGAAAAGAAAAGAAAAGAAAAGAAAAGAAAAGAAAAGAAAAGAAAAGAAAAGAAAAGAAAAGAAAAGAAGAAAGAAAAAGGGAAAAGCCCTTAATTTCCTGAGTCAGGTTTGATCATAGGAAGATGGAAAAGCAAAGTATTTACTGCTTTATAAATCCTCATGATCAAGGTAACACTCACTCCATAGGAACCCTGGAAAGCTGTGTTGCCCAAAAGAAATAGAACACAAACTGCATATGCAATGTAATTTCTAATAGTCATGTTATACAGTAAAAAAAATAAATAAAAACAGGTAAAATTAATTATAATGATATATTTTATGTTATCCAATGTACCCAAAATATTTTAACATGTTATCAGTGTAAGATGTATTAATGTGATTGTTTACTTCTTTATTTTTTTTGTACGAGGTCTTCGAAATCCAATGCGTATTTTATACTGATAGTATATATCTTGGTTTGGAGTAGGTACACTTCAAGTGCTCAACAGCCACACGTGACTAGTGGCTATTATATCATACAGTGCAGCTATAGACATTTTCTGTAGTCTAGAACTTTACAGAAACCCTAAGGTAGATTTAAACTAATTCAGCAACATGAGTTTACTTAACCAGCTAGCAGCAGGTCTCAAAATTTAAAGGTGCATCACAGTTGCTGGGGGCAAGGAGTTACTGGCGGTGGGACTTATTAGACTTACTACATCCAAACCTGGGAGTGGGCCAGGTGGTTATGATGCAGAGCCCATACCTGGGAAGCCATTTTATTGACTCCTGTCAGTACTTAACTGCTGCTGGGCTGACAGCTGTTAGAAGCCGTACCTGCCTGATCATGTGAATACCCGTGGGCAGGGTTAACAGATCCAAACCCCACTCCAGGGTGGAGGATCTACTACTCTTATACAGTTCCTCAGGTGAATCTTTTGCGATCAGTAGGGTTAGGAAACACTAGGGCATTAGTTCTCAAACTGCCGCACATCAGAATCACCTGGGGAGTCAGTCATACTCCATAGCAATGAAATCAGGTCTGAGGCTGGGAGTCCGCAATCATTTTTTTAAAAGATTCCCAAAAGGTTGTAATGTGCAGCTGGGGACCACAACATTAAACCTTTCGAGAAAAGGAATGCCAGAGTAGATAACTTCTGTCAGCTCAGCAGCTGTAGGCATTGTAACGCCCAGGTGTGCCTTGAAAGTGGGCCCGATTGTTAACTTTTACCTCCTCTCTCGAGTTTCATTAAATCGTAATGGGTGCATTCAATTAAAATTAGGCACTTGGTGAGACTAGAAGGTGGCAGGTCATATGGAAGCATCAGAAGGGAGCATGGAGAACGATGAGGCGAAGTAAGGTACTTATACCCAGAACCCCAACCACTCCACAAAACAAAAGAACTGAACTTTCTCAATGCTTTTCTGAAGTGTGACCTCTTCACTATCTTGGATTACCACATGATACTTAAAGGAAAGGACCGGAAGCCACAGACCCAAAAAGAACCAAATGGAAATTCCAAGGCTTGTTTTCTGTCAGCTGATCATCAGAATGGGAAGTGAAGTGCAAAGATTGAGCCATTTAGGACAAAGCCCGCCCCCCACGCCCCTGCCGCCAAAGGACAACATGGAGCAAGTCAGAGAACAAGCAGCAGGAAGGATGAAGGTCTTGCCAGGCTTTGCCCTGAAAACACAACATCAAAGCGGTCTCCTGACTCAGAGCCCGGTCCCCCGGTGGCAAGGGTCCGGGGAGGGGTGTGTTACCCGTCTCGGGTCGCCGCCCCTCCCCTCGCGGGCAGCACCCGGGGGCCGCCCGCGGGGCTCACCGGGCGACCTAGCCCCGGAGGAGCAGGTACACGGCCGGGACCCGGAAGGGGAGTTGCCGGCCGTCCCGACACTCCGGACCCCGGGACCCCTCGGGAACAGCGCCTGCGGTCGCGCTCACCCGATGACGTAGGCCAGGATGAGCAGCTGCACGGCCCGGTTCATGAGCCCCACTTTACGGCTGCGGATGAGCACGATGCGCGGCGTGTCGTACTCGAACAGGAAGGCGGCCAGCGCCGCGCAGCAGCCCGCCATGGCCCGCGCCGGCTGCCACCCCGCTGTCCCGCCTCTGCGCGCTGAGCCCGGCCGCCGGGTCTGCCGCCTCGTTCCCGCCCGGGAGCCCCGCCCAGGCCGCCGGGAGCCCGCGGCGCCGCCACCCGCGAGGCAGGGCCCGGAAGGAGGCGGTACTGCGCCTCTGGGCTGGGGCCGGGCGAAGGCGACGCCCCGCTTCGGTACGAGCGGCTCTCTCCGCGGGGAGTGGGGCCCGCGGGGAAGGGGTGAGCCCCCTCTTGAGGACGAGTGACCCCGTCAGTAGGGCCGGGGTGAACCCCTGCAAAGTGGGATTGGCTCTAACAGGAAGGAGTGACGTCTCCGTGAATCAGTGACCCTCAGGAGGGCCGGGGAGAACAAGTGACCGGCTTAGTGGAGATAGAGCCTTCGAGAACAGGGTGACCTCTCCCTTGGGAATGCGTTACCCGTCAGGGCGGCTGAGGTGAGGGGTGGGTAGAAAGCGACGCCTTTAGGTGGGTAGGAGGTACGAGTGACCTGTCGGGAAGGGGACAGCTTAGAAGAAAGAGTAGTGTCTCAGGAGGTCCAAACTTGTGCCGTAACGTCTGGAGGAAAAACCTGTATGTCAGGTGCCCGAGGAGCCCTTGACTGGAGTCACACACCGTTTAAAGTGGCCCTCTTGGGATTGAAGCCAGTCCATCCAAATCAGATGCTTTCTTAGTTGCAGGACGAGGGAGGGGTTTCTGTGGCCATCCTTGTTTCAACTGAGAAAGTTTTATCACAACTTTAGGGAGACTTGGAAAATAGAGGCAAGTGGAGGAAACACCCACAGTACCACTACTCGAACATAGTTTTCCACGTTTGTTCATTCCCTTTCAGGTATGTTTTCAAAGATATGTTTTATATTTAGTTTCATTAATTCATCCAACAAGCGTTAATAAGCGCCTTCAGTATGCTAGGCACTGTTCAGTGAACAGAGCAAGCCCAAACAGCCTGGCTTCGTGGAGTGTAACTTCTCACAGGTAGATGTGGCTAAGGTTTTAGTTTGTGAATCACAGGCAATGATGATGTTTTTCCTCGTTTACACTACTGGTTTTCTATATTACTGCAGACTCGTTATAATGTTCATTTTTAATAAATGGATTGTTTCTTGCAGAAGGTATGCCATGATTTTCCTAACTGTTCTTAATCTGATTGCGTCGTTTGCGGATCCTAGGCATAATCTTTGATACAATATTTTAGTTCATTTCCTGGAAGTGAGTTGCCGAAGCCACACTGCCTTGTTTTTCCATATATAAAAAAGCAAAGAATAAGAAAATAGACAGCATCTACCTCTAGAGATGGAATTGTTGAGTTAGAAGGAGGCATAGAGCTGCCGCCTGCCTCAGTCCAAAATGGTCCCTAGAAAAGGTAGTGACAGCTGAAGTGGGATTTTTAGTCATTCGTTTGACAGACATTTACTGAGTGCCTATTGTGTGCTCGGCAGTGTTCTTGATGCTAGGGGTATGAGGGTGAACGGATAGATGAAGTCTCTGCCAAAATGGAGCTTGGTGCCGTTTGGAGGTCTTAAATTCTATGTAGAAAAGGAAAATCCAGTTGCTAAATTCTCATTGGAAGGAGACTTAAAAATGCTTTCAATTAAGGGCCCAAACTCAGTTCCATGTCTCATTAACCCTTGCCCATAGTAATGAGATGGTCTCAGCCTTAAAAATCTTGAGTTTAAATGGTTTGCTTGTGTTTGGGAACAAAGCAGGTAAGAGAAAAGTATAAACAAGTGTTTCTAAATTACTAGTTGGTAATCTGCCCGTAGGACCAACCAGAGAAGTTGATCTTGAAAAAAGATTAGGAAAAGAAAGTTATTACATTTAAATTCTTGCCCTTAGTTTATCTGTTTTTAAAAACTGCTTTCTGGGGCACATGGGTGACTCAGTCAGTTAAGCATTTGACTTTGGCTTAGGTCATGATTGTTGGTTTGAGCCCTGTATCAGGCACTACACTATAAGTGTGGAGCCTGCTTTGGATCCTCTGTCTCCCTCTCTCTCTGCTCCTCCTCTGCTCACACAGTTATGTGTGCACTTTCTCTCTCTAAAATAAATAAACATAAAAAAAAAAAAAGCAATCCCAATCAAAATAACACCAGCGTTCTTCACAGAGCTATAACAAACAGCCTTAAAATTTGTATGGAACCAGAAAAGACCCCGAATAGACAAAGCAATCCTGAAAAAGAAAACCAAACTGGAGGCATCACAATTCCAGACTTCAAGCTGTATTACAAAGCTTGTAATCACCAAGACGGTATGGTGCTGGCACAAAAATAGACACATAGATCAATGGAACAGAATAGAGAACCCAGAAATGGACCCACAAACATGTGGCCAACTAACCTTTGACAAAGCAGGAAAGAATATCCAGTGGAAAAAAGACAGTCTCTTCAGCAAATGGTGTTGGGCAAACTGGACAGTGATATGCAGAATGATGAACCTGGACCACTTTCTTATACGACACAAAAAAATAAAGTCAAAATGCATGAAAGACCTAAACCTAAGACAGAGGCCATCAAAATCCTAGAGGAGAAAACAGTCAACAATGTCTTTGACCTTGGCCACAGCAAATTCTTACCTGACATGTCTCTAGAGGCAAGGGAAATAAAAGCAAAAATGAACTATTGGGACCTCATCAAGATAAAAATCTTCTACACAATGAAGGAAACAGCACAACTAAAAGGCAACTGACAGAATGGGAGAAGATATTTGCAAATAACATATCAGATAAAGGGTTAGTATCCAAAATCTGTAAGAATTTGTCAAACTCAACACCCAAAAAACAATCCAGTGATGAAATGGGCAAAAGACGTGAACAGATACTTTTCCAAAGAGAACATCCAGATGGCTAACAAACACATGAAAAATGCTCAACATCACTCATCATCAGGGAAATTCAAATCAAAAGCAGAATGAGATACCACCTCGCACCAGTCAGAATGGCTAAAATTAACAACTCAGACAACAACAGATATTGGCAAGGATGCAGAGAAAGAGGAACCCTTTTGCAGTGTTGGGAATGTAGCCACCCTGGAAAACATTATGGAGGTTCCTCAAAAAAAATTAAGAATAAAACTACCCTAAGACTCAGCAATTGCACTATTAGGTATTTATCCAAAGAATACAGAAGTACTGACTTGAAGGGGCACATGTACCCCAATGTTTATAGCGGCGCTATCGACAATAGCCAAAGTATGGAAAGAGCCCAAATGTCCAACAACTGCTGAATGGATAAAGAAGATGTGGTATAGGGGTGCCTTGGTGGCTCAGTCAGTTAAGCATCCAACTTTGGCTCAGGTCATGATCTCGTGGTTTGTGAGTTGGAGCCCCGCATCAGGCTCTGTGCTGACAGCTCAGAGCCTGGAACCTGTTTCAGATTCTGTGTCTCCCCATCTCTCTGCCCCTCCCATGCTCATGCTCTGTCTCTCTCTGTCTCTCAATAATAAATAAATGTTAAATTTTTTTTTTAAAAAAGATGTGTACACACACACACACACACGCACAATGGAGTATCACTCAGCAATAAAAAAGAATGAAATCTTGCCATCTGCAACAACGTGGATGTTGTGTAAGTGAAATAAGTCAGAGGAAGACAAATATGATTTCACTGATGGAATTTAAGAAATAGAACAGATGAACATGAGAGAAGAGAAGCAAAAATAAGATAAAAACAGGGAGATAAACTATAAAGAGACAAATACAGAGAACAAACTGAGGGTTGCTGGTGGAGTGTTAGGTGGGGGGATGGACTAAAGGGGTGAGGGGCATTAAGGAGGACACTTGTTGGGATAAGCACTGAGTGTAGTGTTCTATGTAAGTGATGAATCACTAGATTCTATTCCTGAAATCGTTATTATACTGTATGTTAGCTAACTTGGATTTAAATTAAAAAATAAATAAAAAAACAATAAAACCATTTTCTTGAGGCATAGTTGACTTACAGTAAACTGCACATATTTAAAGTGTACAAGTGTATAAGTCTGACATATGTATATACCCAGAGGACCATGACCAGTTAAGATAATGAATATATAGGCACCTGGGCGGCTCAGTTGATTAAGTGTCCAACTCTTGATTTCAGCTCGGGTTATGATCTTGAGGTTGATGAAATCAAGCCCTGCCTCAGGTTCTGCACTGATAGCCCAGAATCTGCTTGGAATTCTCTCTTTACCTCCCAGATTATCTGCCTCTCCCCTGCTTGCATGCTCTCTCTCAAAATAAATAAATAAAAAAGAATTTATATAAATAAATATAAAATAAATAAATTTATATATATTTAAAAAAATATATCCATTGTAGTAGCTAGAGTAATCTTAGTTTATGTAAAGTGAAAGTAATTGCTGATTACAGCAGGGACTTTTCACATACCTACATCTTAAATCACATCCAGTTGCACATTTGTTGTATACTTGACTGAGTATGGTCAGTTACTGAGCAACCTTAGGAATTTAAAAAATGAGATTTTCAGCAAAGGTGCTGAGATAATTCCATGAGGAAAGAAGTCTTTTCAATAAATGGTGTTCAAACAACTGGATATCCACATGCACATGATAAAGTTGGACCCCTATCCCTTACCGTGTATAAAGATGAACTCAAAATGGATCAAAGACCTAAGTGTAAGAGCAAAACTGTAGGACTCAAATGAAAATATAGGTGTAAATCCTTATGACTTTGGATTAGGCAGTGGTTTTTTAGACATGAGACCTAAAGCACAGATGTAAAATACACAAATTGGGCTTCATCAAAATTTAAAACTTTTGTGCTTCAAAGGACATCAAGAAAGTGAAAAGACGATACAATGTGAAAAGTCTTTACAAATCATGTATCTGACAGAGGTCTAGCATCTTAAATATCCTTTTTTTTAAAATATTTTTTTGTTTATTTCTAGGAGAGAGAGAGAGAGAGAGACAGCGTGAGCAGGGGAGGATCAGAGAGAGAGGGAGATACAGACTCTGAAATAGGCTCCAGGCTCTGAGCTGGCAGTCAGCACAGAGCCCAACGCGGGGCTCGAACCCACGAACTGCGAGATAATGACCTAAGCGAAAGTTGGGAAAGTCGGACGCTTAACTGACTAAGCCACCCAGGCGCCCCGTAGCATCTTAAATATCCTAAATAAAAGTTCTTTAACTTTTATAACTCATCAGTAAAATGACAACCCAATTTAAAATGGGCAAAAGATTTGAATAGACATTTCTACAAAGATTATACAAAAATGGTCAAGAAGATAAAAAGATGTTCAGTGCCACTAGGGAAATGCAAATCAAGATCACAGTGAGATATCATTTCATCCTCTAGCATGGCTATAATTAAGATGAGGGACAATGAAAAAGATGGGAAGACTGTGTGGATAAACTGGAAGCCGCATACACTGCTGTATAACTGACAGCAAAGTAAAATGGTGCAACCCCTTTGGAAAACAGTTTGGCAGTTCCTCAAAATGTTACACAATTACTGTGTGATATAGAGATTTCATTCCTAGGGGTACTATATACCCAGGAGAATCGAAAAGATAAGTTCATGCAAAACCTTGTACGTCAGTGTCACAGCATCATCTATGATAGCCAAGGAGTGGAAATCACCTAACCGTCTATCAGCTGATGAACGGAAAAGCACATGTGGTATGTCCGGACAATGGACTGTTACTTAGCCATAAAAAGAAATGAAACCCAGATACATGTGGCAATGTGCATGAACCTTGAAAACATAATGCTGATTGAAAGAAGCCAGTTACAAAAGGCCACATATTATGTGATTCTGTTTATATGAAATGTCCAGAACAGGAAAATTCACTGAGACAGAAAGTCGATTAGCAGTTGTTTAGGGCTGAGGGAAAGGAGT